AGAGCTCCTTGTCCCAGGTCAGGGTGGGTTCCGCACTAGTAGATGCCTCCAACATGGTAGCAGACTCAATCACTCCAGGGGTTAGCATGTTGAACGTGCACTTGACAACGAAGTCAGCCATGACCTACGCTTTGATTGCTAGGCACGACCCGAATTGGATGTCATATTTGCTTAGCTCAATGGCCCACTTCGTCAATCTTCCCGAGACCTTGGGCTTTTAAAGAACAAGCTTTAAAGGTCGGCCGGTTAGGACTACAATGATATGGGCTTCAAAGTATGGATGCAACTTCCAAGCTGCCAATACCAAGGCAAAGGCCAACTTTTCTATGTCGAGGTACCTGGTCTTAGCTACATGCAAAACTTTACTTATATAGTAGACATGTCGTTGCACCCCATCTACTTCTCGAATTAGTACTAAGCTAACTACCTTGTCACTCACAAAGAGATAGAGTTTTAGCTCGTCTCCTGGTTTTGGTTTGGTCAATAGGGGAGGTGAACTGAGGTACCTTTTGAACTCGTCGGACATGAGCTAGCACTCCTCGTTCCACTCAAAATCTTCATTTATCTTTATTGCCTTAAAGAATGGGAGGCACCGCCTAGCCAATTTAGACATAAACCAATTCAGGGTGGCTATCCAACCAATTAGTTTTTAGACTTCTTTTATTAACCTAGGTGGTCTCGTATCTATGATTACCTGGAATTTATCCAGGTTGGCTTCGGTGCCACGTCGATGCACTATATAGTAAAGAAATTTACCCAACGTGACCCCGAAGACACACTTGTTCGGGCTGAGCTTCATATTATACTTTCTTAAGATTTCAAAAATACAATTTAAATATGAAATTAAAGAATTTGAAAATTGAGTCTTCACAACCATGTCATCAACATAAGCCTCTATTTTATTGCCAATTAAATTTGAAAAAATCTTATTTACAAGTCACTAGAAAGTTACTCCAGTGTTTTTCAATCTGAAGGGCATAACTTTATAGCAATACAAGCCTAGTTTGGTTACAAAGGCTATTTGTTCTTAGTCTGCTAGGTTCATCCAGATCTGGTTATAGCCAGAGCAGGCATTCATGAAGCTCAACAACTCGTGCCCCAATGTCACGTCTACCAGGTGGTCTATTCTGGGAAGCAGGAAACTGTCCTTTGGGCAGGATCTGTTGAGGTCGATGTAGTCGACACACATGTTCCACTTGTCATTTGCTTTTTCACGAGCACTAGGTTGGCTACCCAACTCGGATATTGGACCTCTCTAACAAAGTCTGCTACGAGAAGCTTCCCAATCTCCTCATCAACTATCCTCCACCTCTCTACGGTGAGGTTCCTCTTCCTCTGCTTAACTAGTCTGACTAAAGGGTCGACATTCAACCTATGAGTAATGACAGAGGGATCTATGCTGGGCATTTCTGCTGCCGACCATGCAAAAACATCTAAATTACTAAGTAAAAAACTTACTAGTTGTGACCGTAGTGGCTCTACAAGGCAAGCTTCGATTTGGACCGTCTTCTTGGGCTCAGTGTCTGAGACTAGGACCAGGGTGGTGTCCTCCATTGGGCGAACTCGCTCATCGGTATTCTCCAGGGGCGGCTGCAAGTCGACATCATCTGCTAGCTTTCCTTTGCCTTTCAATGCTGCCATGTAGCACTTGTGTGATTCCAGTTGGTCACTTTGTACTATCCCTACACCATATATCTCGTCGGGAACTTCATCGACAAGTAGTAGGTCAACACTACTGCCCGAAGTGCATGAAGGATAGCTCGACCCAAGATGGCATTGTAGAGGGATGAAGTAGCGACCACTAGGAAGCTATGCTCGAAACTGACTGAATTCAGATCAGAGCCTACTGTGACTAGCACTTTGATCTGGCCCAGAGGTCTTACCACATCTTCACTGAAGCTGACGAGGGGGATGTCGACTGGCTGCAGGTCCTTTCTCTCTAGTTGCATCTTCTTGAACACATCCAGAAATAGAATGTCAGACGAGTTTCTGGACTCGATCAAGATTTGCTTTATCTTGAAGTTGTTAATGATCATTTTTGACGATGAGGGCATCATCGTACGAATACTGGAATCCACGAGCGTTATCCTTGGTGAAGTATATGACTTCCTCCACATGAGGGCACTTTGGTGGATTCTCGTCCTCATGCTCAAGCTCTTGGATTGAGTTCTTCCCTACCGCAGTTGTGCATCTTGCCACGATAAATCCTCCGGTGATCATGTTGATCACTCCGCGAATGAGCCATTCTAGTGGTGGTGGGTCTTGATGTTACTGGTCCTTGTCCTAGTTCTTGCTCGACTCTGGCACTTCTCTTGGCTGGTCAACAAGTCAGCCCTGGTCATCACGCTTGATGAATTTCTTGAGGTAGCCTCAACAAATCAACTCCTCGACCTCGTCCTTAAGGTTGTGACAATTCTCTGTGTCATGACCGATGTCGCAGTGGAAATGGCAGTACTTGTTTGGGTTCTTGTTTGCGGGGTTGCCTCTCATCCTGGGTAGCCACTTAACATACTCGGCTATCTTGATGTGCATTAATATTTCCTCTTTCTTTTCGTTGAGGGTTGTGCAACTTTTGTTCTAAACTGGAGGGGTCCTTGAACGCCAGCTTGACGACCTGGAACTTCGCGACAGGGACATACTCCTTTTTCTAGGAGACTTGCTACGCCTACTTCGGGGGGGACCTGCTTCTCTTTGGTGACTTACTCTTGTGCCTTTGTTTGCTACTTCCTGCTTCTTCTTTTGCTCGCTTCCTCTTCCCGCTCAGCTCTAACCGGGATCCTAGCGCCTCCTCTGCCATTGTGAAATTGTTGGCTTGGTGGAGGAACTCCTCCATAGAAGATGGAGGGTTCAACTCAACTTCCCAAAGCAAGTCGGGGTGGAAGACGCCATTGACCATTGCAGTGAGCTGAAATGTTGGGTTGAGGTTTGGAATCTGGAGGCGCTCCAGGTTAAACCACTTGATGTAATCCCAGAGCATCTTGTCTAGTCGCTGGACCACATTCAATAGGAAAGTCATAGATTTTGGACATCTCTTGCTAGTGGCAAAGTGTGTCGTGAAGAGGTTCACGAACTAGTTCCAACTTTTAATTGAGCTTGCGGCCAGTCCTAAGTACCACATCCAAGTTGTGCCCTGGAAAGTGGTTGGGAAGGCCATGCATAGGCTCGCATCATTCGCCCCATGTAGTTGCATCAAGGCCTAGAAGTTCTCTATATGGTCAATTGGATCAATAGTTCCATTGTAAGACTCCAGGCTTGGGGCTTTAAAGTCCTTAGGTCGTGGGGCCGTAAGGATCTTTGGTGCAAGTGGGGAGGTGCGGGTCACCTGCTGTATTGTTGGTTGGACGACAATTTGGTTCACCTCTCCTTTTCTTTCTACCTCTTCGTTGTTTGTGGGAGCAAGGTGGCTTCTCCCAGTGTCGCGGCGTGCACGTCGGTGACGCCTCCTCCTCGATACCTCGGTTGAGTTGTTCTCTTTAGCTTTGATCGGTGTTGTAGCTCGGTTGTGCTCTTTAATCGAGACTTGGTTCCGGTTGTCGATGCGACGGGGAGGGTCCGGGTCCTAGTCCTAGTTCTAGTTGTCCGACTGTTGATCATCAGGCTACTGGTTTTGGTTCAGATTTTGCTATTGTTGCTGCTGTGGCTATTAATGCATTCCTACTAAGGCGGCAAATCTCTCCTCCTATGTTCTCATTTGCAGGTTCATGCCACGTCAATTGTAGTAGGAACCACTGATGATTTGACTAGAGGAAGAGGCGCATTCACATGGTGTAGGGGAGGCTAGATTTGACATAATAGGCATGCCTGGTAGGGTCAAGGGCACTGTGAACTGCCTGATGGTTATAGGGGGGACTTTAGGATGTGCTATAGGTTGGTCTTGCCCCCTTGTAACCTGGTTGTTGTTGTTTGCGGGTTTGCTTGTGGATGCCACTAAGATTGTTGTAGTGAAGTAGAGTGAAGTGAGAACTTGGCTTTTTGTTGTGGTTCCCACAAACGGAGCCAATTGATATAGCGCGACCTGGTAGCTCCCTGTTGGAGGACAACTCGGACGTAGGGCTAGTGATGTCGTCTGGTTGAGCTGCAAAACAAGGTTGTCATTGTGTCCGGGGTACTTTACCCAGTGTGGGCACTCCGATGCATAAGTTAGTGATGTGGAGATTTAAGAGAGCTGAGAGCTTAAATTGCAAGGGAATTCGAGAGCTAAGTCGTGCATACCTTGTGAGGCTAGAGGCGAGGCCTTTATATAGGTAAGTTCCCATGGGCCTCATGATGCATGTCTGAGATCGTTGGCCTGTCTAGTTCGGAGTTAGTTTCACACCCAAAAATGGACTCCACATAAGCTAATAAGACTTATTCAAGTCCGTTCGAATCGGACGAAGAGAAGATAAAATCTGTTGACGTATGCTGTGATCCCCAGGAGACCGGAGACAATTGACTTCTATAAAGAAGTTACATGGCACCTCGCCAGGTCAGTCCATATAGTTGAACTACTCGAGCCTCGGTTTAGCTAGGTGACTCAAGGTGCATGAGGTAACTGAGATCGCTGAGATGCCACCACATCATTCCGCCACTCCACATGTCGTCACATCATTATACGGGCCAAATCGTCCCTCGTCAGGTTTATTATCTAGCAAGTCTCTAAGTAGATCGTGAACTCTTTAATTATTGGCTAAATTACATGTTGAGCTGGTTACTATGCCCTAAACATTTTATTTGTGTGATTCTTTCATCTACCAAAAGACAATATAATTAAGTCATTCAATTCAACTACTCTTCTCATTATCAAATGCTGCTAACCTTAAAATCCGACTTAGTATTGTATCAATGTTTTGTCTTGATTATTAGAAACCACATTAATTGGGCTTCGCCGCTCGGGTTTGGCTATTAAGGCTGCCCTAGCAAATGAAGCCTGAAGGGCTTGGGGCCGTTGGGTTTGGGCTGGGCCTTAACCCGAGACACCCACTCAAGGCATCGACGGTCCGGCCATGGCCAAGCACTTACTGAAAGAAAGACCTCAGAGATCGGTCCTCCGTCCTCGTGTATAATATTCATCGCATTCAAAATTCTTGTTTTTCTCCCCTTCTCTCTCCCTCTCTACCCATCGAATGACGACGATGAACCAGGACGACTGTGGCATGGGGTGTGGCGATTAAGAGGGATGGTTTTCTGTACTAACGGGAGAAAATGCCGGCGGGGAGAATTCATCACAAAGGTCTCATTTTAATTGAAACCCCTCGCTGCGACAATAATTGCCATGTCGAGGTTTGTACCAGCAACTTCATAGATCTTCTCTCTTCTCCCATTATCTGTTTTTGTCTTCTTTATCTGAAGGGGTCGTTTCGACATGCGAAATTATGACACTTTAGAATCATAATCTTGTTGGATTGCTTGGTTCCAATTCTGTCTTCTAATGGTTGCACTTGGACATGCGTAGGTTAAGGTTTTAACAAAAGTGAGGCGTTTATTTTGTGAAATATTCAGTCTATAAATTCTTAGCTGTTTCTGATAGAAGTTATAGGGGAAAAATCTTGTAGGCCAGGTTTCATTCTGTTTCTCGTAATCCGTAAGCAAATTTTATGCTTATTGTTTGTGTACTTAGTTGAATATTTGAATTAGGTTTCAGGCAAGGGTAACTTTAGTTTTGCTTGCATAGAAGTTTCATCGTGTCCTGATATATTTTTCTTTTTATTTCCTTTTTAATATGTTGGTGCCAATTTAAATGATGGAATGTTTCTTTGTTTCCCAACACAAACATAATGTTAAAGTTTTTAGGCAATTCGTCTTTGTAGCGATAGCAAATCAGTAACTGAGGAATAAGTCCCAGGTTCTAATGTGAATGTTTAGGCATTAAGGCATCTTTTGCACTTCCTTATATTGAGGAATAAGTCCCTTCTCTATTTTTTTAACATTCTGAATCCTGATAATGAATACGTGTCACATAATGCAATTTTATACATGTGAATCTTAGGTAGACTACAATTTAATATCTTGGTCTAGCCTTACCCAAACTACCTGGAATTGGCTAAATGCTGGGAAACCACAATTAAATGATTTTGTTCCATGTGGCTTCTAACTGCCCAGTAATAGTTTCTGGAGTTATTTGATTGCTCTGAAGAATTGGCATCTCTTAAGCCATGCATTGTTCATATGGTTCAAGTTTAGTTCATTTTTTTTCCCAATTTTTTCTTAGACCTGTATGATGGAAGGGTGATGCTGTTGTTGAAAATGTACAGGTTTTTTGCATTTGGAAATGTTAAAAGAGTTGCACATGTTATTCTCACAAACCAGAGGACCAGCTATTTGGAAGCAAAGAAGCATGGGGCGCTTGTTACAGTTGGACTACCTTCCCCCATATGTAGATTATACACATGGCATAAATTTTATAGTAGAGGACGTGCTTCATTTACAGCACATAAGGCAAAAGAAAATATGCAGAAAACTAATTATTCCAAAAGCTTTAGTATCATCTCAGCAAGTAGCACTATGATAGATCATGCCCAAATTGCTTGGAAAAGGCTCTCACAAAAATGTTCTTATAGTGGCCCAGCTTTTTCACCAATAAATAGGATTGCATGTGCTGTGAGTTTGGCATTGACCAGGTCCCATCTAGTTGCTCCGAGCATTTTTGCCTTTGTTATTGGAGAAGTAGCATGCACACAGAAAGCTTGGGCTGATACAGAATATTTTCCAACAGGGAAGACTTTATACATGCATGCAGAAAAGGGACATGTTTATTTAACATCATTCGTTTTCTTGGTCTTGGAGGGTTTTATTTTGCTTCTGAGATCAATCTATTTGGCAATCTTATTCTTGCCCACTATGGCAATGGCACCTTTTGCGGATTGTTTTGGTTACCAGTTTAGGAAAACATGGCTTCATCTTGTCCATCTTACCCTAGAAAAAGCTGGTCCTGCTTTCATAAAATGGGGCCAATGGGCAGCTGCACGACCAGATCTCTTTCCTAGAGATCTATGCACAGAGCTTTCGAAGCTGCAGACTGAGGCACCAGCTCATAGCTTTGCCTACACAAAAAGAATTATTGAGGAAGCATTTCATCACAAGCTTCCTGAAATTTTTGAAGATTTTGAAGAGGTACCTGTAGCATCTGGAAGTGTTGCCCAAGTACATCGAGCTTCCTTGCGTTTTCAATACCCAGGTCAACATGTCAAGCCCATTTTAGTTGCTGTTAAAGTTAGGCATCCAGGAGTTAGTGATGCAATTAGGAGAGACTTTTTCATTATTAACTTGGTTGCCAAATTTTCAAATTTCATTCCTACCCTTAAGTGGCTGAGGCTGGATGAAAGTCTACAGCAGTTTGCTGTTTTTATGATGTCTCAAGTTGATCTTGCAAGGGAAGCTGCCCAACTGAGCCGCTTTATTTATAATTTCCGTAGTTGGAAGGATGTCTCCTTCCCAAAGCCTCTATATCCACTTGTGCATCCTGCTGTCTTGGTGGAGACCTATGAGCATGGAGAAAGTGTTTCCTACTATGTTGATGAGCTTGAAGGGAACAACCAAATTAAGACTGCCCTTGCTCAAATAGGCACTCATGCACTCCTGAAGATGCTTCTGGTATACTTCCTTATTGACCTATTTTTTTTTTTCCAGTACTAGTTCTTTTTATTGCTTTAGGGAGCTGATACTTATTGGTCTTATCTCTTATCTACCTTTTTGTTTTTTTTTGAAAAAGATAAAGTAATTTTATCTTCCTATTTTCTGTTAATGATGGTTAAAGATTAATATAGATGTATATCTATCTGGTTAAGTGGGTTTTATACAATTTCTGATCTTAAAACACTCAATATGGCATGTGAAACACTATCGTGATCCGTGGCAGCTAAAGCAATTGCTGCACCTGAGGCAGATCTCTGAAAATCATGATGCAATAGAAGATTCATAATATCCAGTGGATTCGAGAAACTCTAGGACAGAAGTTCAGTTCAGGTTGGCTGAAGTTTTAAAAGGTGTGCCTTTGGCATACCTAGGCTCACAAGGAAGACTCATTTTGTGTGATACACTACACCTCACTTGTTTTTTTTTCTATATTGATGTTTTGACAAATTGCCTTTAGTTTGATGTTGATAGAGTAATTTACTTTCTTTTAGGCTGTATCTATGATGTTTAGAGTTCAAATAGTTCAGCTCATTGTTTTAAAATACAGAGGCATGATGCGAGGCATTCACCTGGAGGCATGAGGTGTAGTTCAGAACACAAAAGGCATAAGCCTCCTCAAGAGGAGGAAGAAGAAGAAGGTTTTATGTTTTCTTTTATTTTCTTTCTTTCTTTTTGTTTGAGGCATGCATGAGACGCATGAGATGCATGCCTCTGGTATGCCTCATGCACCTGAGGCATATGCCTCAGAGGCATCAGCACCTCGTGTGGAAGCATGCCTCTAGGCGTATAATTCCCACACCTTTTACAACATTGGTTCAGCCTCTATAGGGCATAACAATACAAGACTACAGTCTTCTAAACATACATATGTATGCATGCAAATATCGATACATCCGGCGTGTCGGACTTTGTATCAGGGTGCTTTTTATTTTGTTTTAGTTTCTTTACAAACTTGTTCAGGGGGGTCAGTATAAGGCCTGTCTTCCCCCTAAAACAGGTCAAACCCCGAAACACCTGTTATTTCACATATCAGTGACCCACCGATACAATATGTATCAGCCGATACGGGCCGATATGTTGCGAATCTTTGATCCTTTGTGTATATATGTATGTATGAATATAATATAATACACATATAGTCTTCATTCATTTCTTGCTTTTAAAACACTGGATATTTGTTATTAAATTGGGATATTGAATAAAAGGCCACTCTTTGGAGTTGAACCTTTATTCTCATCCATGTCAGTCCAAGATTTTACCATTACACCATGCAATGGTCCCTAATTGAGTTATTGAATATGCGCTTAACATGTTTTTTTGGTAGAAACACTTAACATGGTAAGTCTGAAAAAAATCATCTTAAAATCACATTTATTTTTTTTTTCCAAATCTTAGTTTCTTGTAAAGAATTTTATTTCCCTCCTCTGTTCCCTATTTTTTATCAATAAAAATATCATACTCAAAGCAAGGTTCTAAATATCAATACAGACCAATACACCCCATCCAGTGTATTGGTCTGTATCAATAAGCACTTTATATTTTATTAGTTCTTTTTTCAAACCTGTTCAGAGGGGTCAGTATAAGACCTGTCTACGCCCTAAAACAGGTCAAACCCCGAAACCATCCCTGCAATAGCATATTGGTATGACAAATATCAGCCAATACGAGTTGATACGTTGTGATTTTTTTATCCTTGACTCGAAGCTCATGACTTCTGGTGGTGTATCTTGGAAATCGGCAGCATAGTGGTTCTTGGTTTATTTATATATAGTTCTGAATTCTGATTATTAGTAATAAGCTTAGGAAATCTGGCATGTATTAGTTTCTTATCTAATGGAAGATTGAAGGCATAGTTTAAAGTATTTATTGCTTTTCCAGGTGGACAATTTTATCCATGCAGACATGCATCCTGGAAATATTCTTGTCCGGGTAGCTCATAGAAAATCTTCACATAAAGGGCTCTTTAAGTCCATGCCTCATGTCATTTTCCTTGATGTGGGCATGACTGCTGAGCTTTCTAAGAATGATAGAGTGAATTTATTGGAGTTTTTCAAGGCAATTGTCCTTCGTAATGGTCGTTCTGCAGCAGAGTATACTCTGAGATTATCAAAGCAACAGAACTGTCCAAATCCAAAAGTCTTCATTGAGGTAATAGATAGATATATTATATATATGTACTAGCAGCTTATATTTAAGTTTAGAGAATCCGGGGAAACATATTCATCTCATACTTCTTTCATAAATTTGTCACTTGTTTAAAAGAACAGTCAACATCTTTCTACTCAACCTGCAACCTTATGCTGCTAAATGCCATATAATTGTTGTAACTACCATTTCTATTTCTAGTCAGCAAATGTGCATTACATTCATTCAAGTTGTGGATTTGGAAGATTGACCAAGAAAATTCTGCACTTGTCAGGGTTTTGATAAGATGCTACAGTGGCAAGGAGATAATTTATCCCCCTCTTTGCAACTCTTTAGAATCTGACTAGCCTTATGGACCTTGTAGGTTTTCAAGACTGTTATTCAGTCTTGACCACTAAGAGATTTCAGGTTCGATGAGAAGAGAAAGTGAAGAAGTAGAAGAAAGAGTGGTGAAAGAGCA